GAAATGATGAAATTATAGGCAATTTTTTTGGAGTATGCTGAAGGAAATCTGAAGATAATCGATAATTATCAACATTTTCTCTTTTATTTCATTTTTTTTTCAAAGTTAATTATCTTTTGCTGTTCCGAAAAAGAAAAGCAGCTCTAAACGAACATCATTGAAATGAAAATCTTTTGATTTTCTTTGAAGAAGATGTTGGTCGACATTGAATAGTGTTGCTGTTGACAGGTTGGAATTCGTGTAAAGCACGAATACCTTGGATTGTTCCTATAAAGCTCAGTTTTTATTGTGAGGAGAAGAAAAAAAATTGCTTTACCTGAGGTTTTTATTTGTTCACTTCTTGCTTTGAGGACGTTAGCTTTGGTTTTTTCAACTTCTTTTGCATCGAGAAAGAAGACTTCAATACCAGGATCAGTTTTGCTGGATGCATGGGCTGCTTCTAATTGTTGTTGTCGTGAGAACTCATAAAAATCCTTAGGTGTTGACAGAAGAATATTTTTGGAGAGTGTGACACGTCGAGCAGTTGATTTTAATACAGCACCAATACCATCTCCAGCCGCTTTACCATGGCCGCTGGCTGTAAATGTCCACCATGCATCCATACCAAAATCAGCCTTATGATGAACCAGATTTAAAATACTGGCATTGTTCTTGAAATGCCCACTGGCACCGTCACTAAAACAATGGCGAAATGTTGTTCAATTTGTTTTTTGTCTCAAGTACTGTCCTTCGTGTAAAATGGATATTACTCACCTAATGTAGTTAATCTTATTTACTAGCGGGAAATTTTTCTTTATAAATTCAACGAGGATTTTTTGAGAACAGTAAACGAATGATGTTGTGTGTTCCAAACAATCGCTAATGATGGCTAAGTTCCGATGGTCTCGTCCAATTGTCAAATGAATGGTAAACAAAGAAGCTTGGTGTTGACTGAAGAAGCCTTGTTGAACTTCACGTTGTCGAACAAGTGTATAGTTCATTGAAAAATCAATTTGAGCCACAATGAAAGTTTGATTCGAGGATTGGGCACGCAGTTCCTTTATATATTCACGTTGTTGTCGATTGCAATACGTATGAAGTAGAAATGCCGGCCATCTTGTTTCAATCTCTGTGAGAAGAGATTCCACTGAAGAACCCACTTCTTGAAGATCAAACTTATTCTCCACCTTCTTCCATAATTTCCATGAGCATTCATCATTCAAATCGATGTCATAACTATTGATAAGAACATCCATGAGACTTTGTATCGAACACTGAGGACATATTCTAGAAAAACATTCTTCTGTTTCGACAGTGCACACCATTTGAGTGACAAGGTCTTTCATATTGAATTTGTCGATATTGTTCCCGGGTGCTTTCTTGAAATGCTTTAGACAGTAATGATTCCAAGCCTATAAACAATGGAAAGCTACATTCAGATTAATGTACAACAGATACAAACCGTCAGCAAAAGATTCATGTTTTCATGTATTATACACATGCATGTTTCATGTGGTGAGGCTATTTTCACTGTTCGAGGTCGAAGTAAATAAAAAGTCGACCTAGCAATAACATCAGGAAATCGCTCGTTGAATATCCAAAACGCGTCCAAAACTGTCATTTCCATAAATCTAACAGGAACGCGCTTCTTGTTGACTTGAATTGTATCCTTGGAATTCGATGAGACACGACTTATGCCATCTTCACAATAAAATTGAACAACAGCATCGATTGTCGCATCTGACAGATGCGGATTTCCTCGTAAACACTGCGGATACGCAAGAACACCTTCATTTTTGCGCAGAATTAACGATCGACGGGCCTGACTTTGTTTCGACTGGAACCTGAAAATAGATGAAAAATTTTGTAATCAATTAATAAAAAAATTGGCATCTTTAATTGTATGTATTCCGCATAAAGTCCTTACCATTTTTCAATTTTTTTTCGGCCCCATTGCTTTGGAGCTATCGTCATGAGACGAACCTGTTCATCTTCGTCACTCTTGTTAAACAATGTCTTTAAGCCATCCAAAAGTTGGTTTGATTCAGATATCAGTAGATCATGTGGATTTGGATCATACAAACCGTCAGATTTTTTCTCTAACGCATCACAAAGTTGATGTAGAATTCGATATGCTTCATCAACTTTAGCTCGAATAGGTCGTACTGCCAATCTAAAGCCAAGAATTTTTGTTAGCAAAGCGAGAATAACTTTAAAAACTTACTTGTCATGAATTGGAGCTATATTAAGTAGATGAAATACAGTGGATAATTTTTCCATCGCTTTGTTTTGTTCATGTACAAGATTATGTGAATCATTATCTGATTGAACATCGTCAGAATCATCAAGATCTGATTCATCATCATCCACAACTTCAACATCCATAGATTCATTATCATCATCATCATCTTCCTCCTCCTCCTCTTCCTCCTCATCATCATCTTCATCATCATCATCCTCATCATCACATTCCTCATGATCGAATTTACCAACATCCATAGATTCGTCATCGTCAGCGTCATTGTCGTCGTTGTTTATCGACTCGTCATGGACGCCACTGTCCATGTACGGATGATTCTCATCTTCATTAATGTCATCATCGTCGCCACTATGAGAGTCCTGTGTTACAGATTCATTGTTACTTGCGTCTTGAATATCGCTCGTTTCTGTTGATTGATAATTTTCCATTTCTTTTGTTTCTGATGAATGACATGATGGACAAAGCCAACGAACATGGCTATCATCAAGATCATATCGGGTAATTAAAAACTTGGATAGTTTAACAGAAACGGCTATTGTTCCTTTTGGAATGGATACACCGTTTTTATGTCTTGTTGGATGGTTGCAACAGTTTCGTCTTGGCATCGTAGTTTTGAAATGGGATTGAATGAAAAGAAATAGTCGAGAGCTTAGCTTATTACATCGGTGAGTCACATAATCTATCTACTGGTTCAAATTAAAACAACTGTACGTCAGACTTCGTACTTAAAGATGTCCTGATGTAACAGGAACGTATAAATTTTCACTTAATCATTGTCCAATGTATTTAGATGTAAGTTTTGGATCTCTATTGTATTCACATGATTTCGAGAAACACGAAATATATTGATATGAAAACGATCATCTTATACCACAACGAAAATGTTAAATCGGAATTTCGATAAGAATTTTAGGAACGCTTAAGGTGAGGCTTATTTCTTCTTTTACACTATCGTTTAGAAAAGCAACAGGCAAGAGAAAAATTTGTTTAGAGCTGCTTTTCTTTTTCGGAACAGCAAAAGATAATTAACTTTGAAAAAAAATGAAATAAAAGAGAAAATGTTGATAATTATCGATTATCTTCAGATTTCCTTCAGCATACTCCAAAAAAATTGCCTATAATTTCATCATTTCATTAGATATTATACTTTTTTTTTACCAAACATCTTCCTTATCGCGCTTGTATCCTGCTGAGAGAGAAAAAATGATAAAAATGTTCAATTCAAACGTTCAGAGATCATTTACCAGCATGGGAGCTAGTACACGAAATATACATGTACATGTTCCGAGAAAACGACCTGGAACCTTATGATTTCGATGAAAAGTACTTCTTCTTTTTCGGCCAATAACGTTTTTTAGAGCGCTTTGACCTTTCTGTCGAAAAAAAATCGAAAAAAAATACTTTTCCAAATCGTGGTAGGATACCCATGGATCTACCCTATTACTAATTAAAACTTTATCGTAGTTTGAATAAATGATATAATTCTATGTTTATTTAATATATATAAAAAATAAAAATAGCGATATTTGTTTTGCATCAGTGATAATAAGTATCTCTTTTATTCTTATTTTATCGAAAATCTAATCATTCAACAGGTTCTTATCGTTCTTTTTTTAAGTCTATTTTAATTTAAAAAAGTAAAATGATTACTTTGATTATTATTAGAACAAATTTCAGAAAATTTTCATATTTAATATATCTTTTATGAACATAATTAATAAATTGAGATAAAGGACATGGTTGTTCAGATCCTTGAGAACATCCTGAAATCCGTTTAGGTGTTGAATTAATTAATATTCTAAATGTTTCATTTGAATATAATGATGAAAATTGAAGTCTTTCAAATGCAATTCTTCTTAAAAATGGAATAATTTCACTTTTTTTTCCAAGATCTTTCAAGATTTATTTTATGTAATGATAAATATGTATTTGATTGATTACATAAACCTAATGAAACTAATATTAATAGTAAAATTTCTCTATGAGTTTTTGATAAATAAATATTTTGATTTGTTTGCTCTAAAGCAGAATCAATCACTCACTGCAGCTTTGAAATTGGTCATAGCTACTTGTGTTCGTATTTATTTTGATTTAGTTTTTGTGTCTTATTAATCATTTCCATTTTAAAATAAAATTGTTTATATTGGAAAGTTTAAATCATTTTTTTGTTTCGCTTTTTTCAGATTTCACTATTTTCAAATAAATAATAAAACATTAATCAAATTTTTTGTTCGAAAATAAATAAATAAATAAAAAGAACATTAATTACATTTTTTGTTAAAATAAATAATAAGAACATTAACCAAGTTTTTTGTTCAAATAAATAATAAAAATATTAATTAAATTTTTTGTTAAAAAAAAGATTACTAATCTTTCGATTTTCTAAAGTTTCTTACTTCGAATCGAGTATATCTTCACTAGTTTTAACGGAGATCTGACTCGAAAGAAACTTTTGCTTTGTTTATCTCACTAAGTTTAGAGATATACACGTGTCTCACTAAGTAGAAGCTATATTTAGCGTATACACGCGCCTAATCTACGTGAGAAGCTTGTTTTTCGAAAAAATGCCGAAGCTAAAAAGAAGATCTATATCTCAAAGAAATGTCGAGAGGGCAAAGACAATGAGAGAAAGAAGAGCTAACGATGAATTTCGTTTGTTGGACAATCGAAGACGAGCAAAATCTCATAAAACCGAACGACAAAGTGATGAATTTAAAGCTCAAGAAAATGAAAGAAGAGCAGAAGCTCATAAAATTGAACGACAAAGTGATGAATTTAAAGCTCAAGATAATAAAAGAAGAGCAGAAGCTCATAAAATTGAACGACAAAATGATGAATTCAAAGAAGAAGAGAAAAGAAAAAATGCACTAAGAATGTATAACAGTAGAGATAAATATAAAAATAATTTTGATGCTATGAAATCCAATTATGAGTCAAAAATAAAAGAAGGACCTACTCATATTTGTAGTTGTTGTGGCAGTTTATGGTTTGCGTATTCAATTAGAGAATATACAATTGAGATGTTAGCAAAGAAAGGCTTACGAACAGAATTTATCGATACAGTTTGCTATATAAAACATGCAATTATTAAATTATGTGCTACTTGTAGAAAGGACATCATGTCGAATAAAATACCTAATCTTGCTCTATCGAATGGTTTAGCATTCTATGAAATACCGGATTGCTTGAAAATCTTGACTGAATTAGAAGAAAGATTGATATCACCAAGAATTCCTTTTATGGTAATTCGAACTTTAGGCTTTTCTAAACAATTTGGTCTCAAAGGTAATTTAGTAAATGTTCCTATGAATGTTGACACAAATGTTTCAATATTACCCAGAAGTTTTAGTGATACTTACACGATTCAATTGAAACTGATGAGACAAATGAAAAATAAAAATGCTTTTATGTATGAAACAATTCGACCAAAAGTCGTACACACAGCTGTTAAATATCTTGTTCAACAAGAACTTTATAAAGACGAAGGTATTGTTATATCTAATGATTGGATTAAAGAGTATCCCAATGAAAAAGAAAATTTCATAGTCAAAAACGAAGATAAAAAGTTTAATGAGACTGAAAATACGGGAGAAGACTCTGATCATGATGATTCTTGGAATGAAAGTGACGATAAACCAATTAATCCAGTAACTACTGAAACGTTGTTGAATGACGAGACTGAGGATCAAAATGATACTGGTATTAAATTTGCTCCAGGAGAGAATAACAGACCGATATCTGTTCTAATGGATTTGAAAGTCGATGAGTTAACATTTCCAAAAATCTATTGTGGAAAACAACGGAAAATTAAAGAAAATGTCAAACTAACGTATGCTAAAATTGCTAAGTCAGAATTAAGAATGTTTGATAGAAGATGTGGTAGAGTGTCAAAACTCTTTTTCACATATAAGAAACTACAAACGAGAAAATTCGTTGATGCTATTTCAATAAATTTGAGAAAAACAAAAAATACGAAAAACGTAACTGTTACACAAATGCTTAATCGACATTATGTCAATGGATTAGTACATAATGATGATGCTTTTGCATTTTTGAGATTTGATCGATCTTCATCAGCATTCTGGGAACTGAAAAAGAAAGAACTTATGGCCATGAATAGGCAATTAGAATGTGCAACAATATTTTTAACATTATCAGCAGCTGAAACACAGTGGTCAGAACTTCTTGTCATATTGACTCAAGTGTTAGAAAATAAAGTAATAACATTAGAGGAAGCAGAGAATTTGAGCTATGAAAAGAGATGCGAATTAATAAGACAAGATCCGGTAACATGTGTTCGCTATTTTGAACATAGATTAAAATGTTTATGGGAAATATTATCAGCTCCTTGTGGTCCATTTCAAGGATATGAATTAGTAGACAAATATGTCAGAACTGAATTTCAAGTTCGTGGTTCACCACATGTTCATGCTTTATTATGGTTAAAGAATGCTCCAAAATATGACAAAAATAATCCTGAATCAATTGAAAGATGTGTAGAATTTATTGATAAATTGATTTCAGTTAGTTCTCAGCCAACGGAATTTTCTGAAGAACTTATCAGTTTACAACGTCGTAAGCACTCACATACTTGTAAACAACATGTAAACGGTTGTATAATATGTCGTTTTGGTATTCCATATTTTCCGATGAGTAAAACGATGATATTAGAACCATTGAGTGATGATGAAAAGCTCTCTAAAAAAGAACGTGAAGAGATAAGTAAGAGTAGACAGAACGTAAAGGAAGAACTTGACAGAATATCAAAAGATAAAGATACTTCATTAACTTTTGAAGAATTTTTGAAAAAAATTAATATGAATGAAGAACAATATATTAAAATGATTCGAGCTGACTTAAAAAAAGCAAAGGTCTTCTTGAAACGTGCTCCAAATGAGATTCGAATCAATGCATACAATCCAATGATAATGTCATTGCACAGAGCAAATATGGACATTCAATATATTCTTGATCCTTATGCATGCTTAAAGTACTGTGTTGAATACATCAACAAATCTGAAAATGGAATGTCCAAGCTTCTAAGAGAAGCATTGAACGAGTTAAAAAAAAGGTAATCACACAGTCAAAGAACGTCTTAGAGTTCTTGCAAATAAGTTTTTGAATTCAAGTGAAATTTCAGCACAAGAAGCTGTTTATCATATTTTAAGTATTCCACTTTCCGTCAGTAGCAGAAGTACTGTATTCATTAAGGGTACCCCCCCCCCCTCTTTTTGATGATTCTGAAAATCACGAGAAGATCGAGTCCGATTTGATTGAAATTTTTACCGCAGATAGACCATCGAAAATGATCGAACTCATATCGAAGGAATTTTTTTTTAAAGAGCGTTTTCAGGATTTTTTATAGCAAAAACTGATTTTCGCAAGGTCTCCATCGGGACGCGGGACGAGGTAGCAAAAGGTGGTTCGATAGAGCTGAATTTTTTTTTGGAAACACCTAACGACATATCTCAGAGGTAGTTTTAACCGTTTTCGAAAATCTCGCTTTCTTCTTTTCCTGTAAAGAAAATACAAAAAGGTTTTCTAGAGATCCTGGTTTTTAACACCAAAAATCCTATTAATCCAGAAGGAGAGATGAGAATTGAAAACGGCCAAAACTACCTCTGGAGAATAGTCCAAGGTATGTGTGGTAAAAATTTCAGCTCGATCGGATCAAATTAGAGGAAGGTTGTCCGCGTCCCGATAATGCTCTACACCGAAAAAAGTAATTTTGAGAAAATCGTAAAATAAGTTTGAAAAATTTATAATCTCAGATAGGGGTTAAATGTTCATTTTTCGACGGTTTCATAGATAGTCCGTTGTCTGATACTCTTTTTGGGGCTGGAATTTTTACGAGTTTTTCGACACTAGCTTTTCGTAAAAGCGGAAAATAAACTGAACGAGAGATCGAGTTGAGCTGATTCGAATGCACATCGAAAGGCCAACATCCAGTGTATCTTCAACGCATATAAACGAAAAAAAAATTCCACTTTAATTTTTTCCTCAAAAGAGGGGGGGGTACCCTTAATACAAATAGACCCGAAAATAGAATTTCTATGCTTAAATCAGATGAAATTCTTCAGAAACTAGAGCCTGATTCAAAAGATGTTTTTGTTGAAGGTTTGATTGACATGTACGTTAATAGACCAGACGAAATGAAAGATGTTTGTTTGGCTGATTTTGCTTCCTTGTATAATGTGTCAAAGAGAAAAACAGATAATGCTCCAATTACGGAAAATTCTGATGATGAAGATATTACTGAAAATGAAAATGATGAAAAAATTACTGCTTTCCGGATGAAAAATGGAAAGGGTTGGATCAAAAAAAGAACAAAGAAAAAAATAATAAGACACAGATACTTTAAGTTACACCAAGATCCTGAAAACTACTACAGAGAGCAGTTGATGCTATTTCTATCATGGAGTAATGAAGAAGAAGATCTTATTTATATAAATCATGAAGAGACATTTGAATTACATAAAGATATAATTCAACAGAAAAGATCTGAATATGTTCATCGTGAAGCCAGTGAATTTGAAAAAGCTTTTGAAGAGCATATGGAAAGAGATGATGAGAATGATGTTGACGATACAAATATTGAATATGATCAAGATAAGAATGAATTCCTCATTTATGAAATAGGAAATAATGAAGGCGATATCTTTCTTGAAATGGGACTAAAGACCCAAACTGAAAAAGTTGAACATTTTAATGTTCCCAAAGTAATACCAGTTACTGAATATCAGCAAATGATGAGAAGTCTCAATAATAATCAAAGAAGATATACTTTAAATGTGATGAATTTGATAAAAAATGGAGATAAGCAATTTTTTCATTTTATTAATGGCGGTGCAGGCGTTGGTAAAAGTACTTTGATCAAAGCAGTATATCAGTCCACACTGAGATTTTATAATTCTCTTCCTGGATCTAACCCAGAAACTATTCGTACTGCACTCTGTGCGCCAACTGGTAAAGCTGCAGCACTAATTGATGGAATGACTTTACATTCATTTTTAAGTTTACCAGTTAATCAATGCAAACATAAACTCGTTCAATTAAATAGCGATATTTCGAATAGAATAGGAGTGAAATTAAAAGACTTGCAATTGTTAATAATAGACGAAATATCAATGGTTGGTTTTACAATGTTTCAACACATCGATGCACGTTTGCAGCAAATAATGAGAACAAAAAAGCCATTTGGTGGAATATCAGTCATGGTTTTAGGCGATTTCAATCAATTAAGACCAGTTGGGGATAAGTATATATTCCAGTTTAATAATTCATATAATGCTTTAGTAGATAATCCATTATGGTCACTTTTTGAATTGTTTGAATTGACAGAAATAATGAGACAAAAGGATGATAAAACTTTTGCCATTGCATTAAGTAATCTAGCCAAAGGAACGATGACAGCTGAAGATATTCATCTGTTAAAGTCACGAATTGTTTCAACTGAAAATTTGGAAATGGTTAAAGATGCGATAAGGATATTTAGAAGTAATGCTGAAGTCGATGCACATAATAGAATAGTATTGGCTAGGCTTAATACTGAAGGTGCAATCGCTAATGCTTATGATTATTGTGTTGGTGATGGACTTGCATCAATAAGAGAAAAAGTTCTAAATAATGTAAAGAATCTGAAAACAACTGAAACTTACGGTTTACCACTTACAATTGATTTGAAAGTGGGTGCTAAGTATATGATGACAGTGAATATTGATACTGAAGATGGATTAGTAAATGGTGCTTGTGGAAAATTGATAGCGATTGATTATGGAAAACTTCAAAAGACGAATGAGACAGTACCATGTCGATTATGGATTAAATTTAGTGAGGAAAAGACTGGAAGAAAGGCTAGAGCTAACTTTCATAATGTGATGCGAAACAGAAATATCGATCTCAGTCTTACACCAGTCGAACCAGTAGTACGACAAATAAATACAAGATCAACTAATTTCAAAGTCGAACGTAAACAGTTTCCTTTAGTTCCTTGTGAAGCGATGACTATATATAAAAGTCAAGGTGGTACTTATGAAAAAGTCGTTGTCAATTTAAAGAAAGGAATGACAAGATCTGAGTTATACGTCTCTTGTAGTCGTGCAACAAAATCAATTGGTTTATATTTAATTGGCGATTTTGTTCCACCAAAACCACCTGAACCTAATGATGCAGTAGCGATGATGTTTAAAAATATGAGATCTGAACGGATGATGAAATTTTCACTTGAATTTCCTGAAGAATCTCAAGGAGAACGATTTTTCGTGATGTTCCATAATGTACAATCGTTAAATAAACATATTTTCGATGTCAGATCTGACAAAACATTTTTGTCTGCTTCCATGATAAGTCTTGTTGAAACATGGACAAAATCTAGTGACTCATTGGAGATTGAAGGTTTCAAAATAATTCACAGACGTGATTGTAATGATATACGAAAACCATTTGGTCAAATTACTTATTTAAAAAATGATTTGAAATATGAAAATATCACCGAAAGATATGAATATTCAGGCAAAGACCATATTGAATATTCTTCAATAAAAGTCGATGATATTTGCATAATTTCCGTTTATAATTCACCGAATTCATCATTCGATGTCCTAAAACGACATATAAATGAAGTTATAACTATTTCAAAAGGATTTTGTGAAGATATAATTGTTGTTGGTGATTTTAATATAAATTTGAAAGTCAAAACCAATAACAAGTTTATTGTATATATGCAATCATTCGGACTTAGTTTGAATAATACACTAAATAGAGATTCAACTAATGCAAAAACACAGATTGATTATTGCTTCACTAATGTGAAAGGCTTAAAGTCTGATTATTTTGAAAGTCTTACAAGCTTTCATAAACCAATATGGATAAGAAAACATGAAGTTCTGAGTAAGTTTCATTTTAATGTGACCGAAGATATTCATACAAATATACTTTTGAATATCGATGATGCTATAATTGATGATCAATTTGACGCGATGGAAGTCGATGAGAAATTCGTTTTTGAACATCATGAAACAGTCGATAAAAACAAACAAATTGACTTAGATATGTCTTTCCAATTGGAAGATCTCAAAGTTAATGAGCCATCTGAAATGATGGAAACTGAAGAAAAATCTTTTTCTGAAAACTACGAAATCATTGATTCAAAGTCAAGAAAGATTCTAAATCACTTTCTTCTTGCACTTGAGTTTGATAATACTATAGATACTAATCGAGTTATAAGTCAAGCTGAAATAATCAATGATTTGATTGAAAAATCACCATTTATAACTATGAATAATAAAGACAAATCCGTCCGGTTAAAATCGAAAAAAGAATATTCTGTTCAAGCGTTCGATTCAGTTTATGCTAGAACTCGCACGACTGCAGATGGCAATTGTTTATATAGTTCTCTTTCGATATTAAATATTGGATCTGAAAAATTAACACATTCGATAAGATTGTTGGCAGTCAATGTAATGCTCAATAATAGTGATTATTTCCAAAGACTTTGTACAGTATTGCACTATACATTCGAGGAACAGTTGAAAAGAACTGCTATGGGTACAGTATGGGGTGGAGAAGTTCAAATTCAGGCGCTTTCTATAGCCCTGTCTCATCCCATCTATTCATATATTCAGTTTATTAGCGATCCAAAAAGTACACAATATATTTCATCGAACATTAGTTTACAAGAACTAGTCGATCGATTTAATAAAGGGACAGCAGGTGGTCATCTAAAATATACAGGATATAAATCCGATATGAATAAACTAGGATTTTGTGTTTACTATAATGGTAGTCATTATGATGCTCTTCTACCTTTTCGAAATAATCCTCAACAGTTTGTACCGCACTTTGATATAATTAACATGAGTTTATAAAAAGAACCGCGGCTCAGTTAAAGCAAAGAAGTTTTCATTTATGTAAATGAATAAAGCCTTCGGAACTAACTCCTCGCCGCGTCCTATGGGACAAAAAGAGGGCATCCGCAGGGCCTAAGGGGCAGCTCCTTAGTGCGCTCAAGGATGAGTTTTTTTAAACAGATTGATCAAAATCGATGTATCGTGAACTTCACTTTTCAAGTACATAA